AAAAGGTTGCTAATTGGTGCCAGGCCTCCTTCCTCCTCCTTCTCTCACTGCACAGTGGTTAGAGGGATGTGGTGCCACTGTCGGAACAGGATCCAAGTCCTGTGTGGAAGTCCATTTATTTCATTTTTGCTGTAAAGGCTTTCATGGTTCTAATTTTGTATGGTTTTAATTTTGGTCATTTTGCCTGGGCTCATGAGCTTGTTTTATTAAGACTACTTTTAATGGGAAGCAGACTAAATCAATGGTACAAATAATATAAATAATAACTATCCCTCAATAAATGTGCAAAATAAACTCTATTTTATTTCTGTAGTTGAGGTGGTGTTACCATTTTAATTAATGGTAATTTTAATTCTTTGTTAAAAGAATGATCTTTTCTTGTATGAGGACTGTCCCCCTCTATTTTGTTTAGCTTTTGCTCTAAAATACCAGGAATTAAGAGCCATTATAAAGCTTGGAAAGATTATGGTCTTGGCTTGAAATGTTCATTGTATGCTTCACAACTGAAGTAACACACATTGCTGTCTAAAGGGGGTCTCATAAGACCTAACGTCTAAATAGCTTAGTTTCATTAGCACCCCTCCATCAACACTCCTGCTAAGAGGGGGGATGCTTCCAGATGAAGATGCTTCTCTCTTGCTTATAGGATTTTATGGGAGCATCTGACATTTGCAGTTCTCTCACTTTTCCCATCATTTTTTTCTACTGCAGAAGTTCAGTTAAAGAGAGTAATTTTGAAATAGTAGCACAATTTTTAACAGGTAAGGAAAGGAAAATGCATCATTGAGACTAAGTGGAAAAAACAGTCCCAGGGAAGATCAGTGTTTCTTTTTTCCCCCTTTCTAAATGTTTGTAATTTTTATTTAGTGAAATAAAAGTATTGGAGATCTTTTCAAAATAAAAAGGCTGCTTTTCTGCCATGAGTATGGAGGATGTGAAGGCTGTCCGTTAAAATAAGACTTTTAGGTAATGACTCAATTACAACAGCTATGGGTGCACCATTGAAAGATCTGAAGGACCAAGTTAGGGACAAATTGCCATGGAGAAAATCTGTCTAAATGGTTGCTAAGAGTTCACTGACTTGAATGTACATAATCAATCAAATTCAAAAATTAATGTTAGGAAGGTATCATTTTGCTTATTTAAAATGGGAAAATCAAGTTGGAGAGTTTTAACCCACATTGTGAAGCTGCTTATCAGGAATTACGAAACTGACTATTCAGAAAATTGGGTTTTCTGATAAACGTTCATTGAGCAGTTGATAAAAGACAAGTATTATTTAAGGGAATTAATTGAATGAAGTCTACAAGTTTTGCTGCTATCTTTCAGTTCTCTACTGTAGGTACTTTTAAAATACTAATTTGCTAAAAAAAAAAATCAAAATATGAAAGTAATACAAGTGACTAGGGGGTTTGATTATGTAGGCAGCAAACTTGTTGGTCATATTGACCAGAAGATTACTGTATCAGTTACCTTTCTTGATTTAATTTAATACTTTGTTGCACACATTTGCCACCTTGTCTTTTTTCTTGGTTTTCTCAGGCTTTGTTTTCTTTTGGATCCATTGCTGTTCTTTGCTTTACCCCAGTGTTCCTCAACCTTGGCCACTTGAAGTTACGTGGACTTCAACTCCCAGAATTCCCCAGCCAGGCTGGCTGGGGAATTCTGGGAGTTGA